AAAGAGAATTCAATCATGAGAAATGCCCCCTCAGGATGAACATGTACTAAACTGGAAAACTACAATGTGAACAAATGCAACTTGACATGGCTAAGACTGACAAAACAGCACCTTTTTAATTCCTGATATACCACAAATATTTTAAATTTCCAACCAAACTAAATACTTCAAACATAACCTTGTACACTCTCAGCATACATGCAGCAAACCCATTCCCTCTAATTTTATTAATAAATTCCAATGGCAATTGTTTCCAACCAGCCAATCAACAGAAATGAATTAAACAAATTTCACTGACAAATATTCTGCATTAACTGACTATAGGGGGAAAAAAATAGATAAGATATAAATAAAAGTAAAATGTACTACTTGTACAATGTGCATCAAAACCCCCAAATATAAAATTTTTATTCAAATTTTGGGTGAAAAAATATGTGCACAGTTTCTAATAATCCACACCTTAGATTTGGAAAATGAATCAGTGACATCATCAACTCACAATGAATTAATTTCCTGCTTGAACAAGGAGGTAACAAATGCTGCGTCATCAATAATCTTATTATAATCAAAAGGTAAACAAAGCAGCCAGATTACATATGTGTAAACACTCACTGTGCTTAATCATAATGTTACACCCAAATCAGAAAACTCTTTTATCAAACTACAAACTACACTACTGAATGCACATACAGAGATGTGAAATGCAATAGGCCAATAACAAATAATCTTGTGGGTTTCAAAAAGTAGGTAGTTAATAAATATCATTTTTCTAAATATTTTGTTGTTGTAAACAACTGAGTTTAATTTTTTTTCTTGCATACACAAATATTTGCAGATACATGTACAAGTGTGATAAGTCATGTTAACAGTTATTTACAATGTAACATTGTTTTTGAATTATAAAATCTTATTCAAAGCCTGAATTTGTGACATTTTCTAAAATATGGCCAAAAAAAATGTAGCACCAGGGAGTAAAATAGGGCTCATCAGGTTATAGAATCCATAGTTTATTTTTTGGCCTAAATATTCATTCATGGAAAAGAATCATAGTTATTCTGTATTTTAATGTGAAAGCAACTTCAGCCATGCAGCCACTAAATTAACAATGCATGTCAGGAGTGTGAATTTGCACTCCAGCAAAGCTAGTCAGGTAATATAGGAAAACCCATTCACAAGAATATAAACACATTATTCATGCAATTCAAGTTGCTGGGAAGCATTCACAATGTGTTAATTAGGTTTGTTGTGCAAATGAGATTGGGGTTATCACTCAAAGTGAGCAGGCTAAATTAAGTTATTAACAGTTAACACATTTAAATCAATTGGTGATATTAAACTGCCTCAATCTGGACACAAGAACAATAAGATATCCATTGATTGTGTGTTTTTCACAGGGTTGAACCCACATTGGTAATTCTGCTACCTGTCCCAGTTTTATTTTTCATATATTTGTTTTTATTTCTGGCATGGGAAAATCAAAAACGTTTCGGTAACCTACATATAATTATATTTTACACACCCAGGTCGTGATTCTGTCTCTGACTGAAAGTCGACGGAAGTACGATATCGAATACAATCACCACCGTGGGCGAAATGTCCCAAATAAAAATGGGTGATATGTAAATTGGCCACAGGTATGTTGGTATGTGTGCGATCCAACAGGTGACCTTCACACCCGAACAAAAAGGGAAAGACCTTAAAATGACTCACCTAAAAAGGTTCTCTGCTCCAGCCCTCATCCTCAATTCTTTATTTATTTGATAATTCAACTTCTGCCTCCTGTTCTGCATTTTACCGCGGACTGTTTGTGCGAGAGGGTCCGATCCCTGGTGAAAAAAAACACAGAACGTAGAACGCTGTAGTGAATATAGGTGAAGACATGTACTTGTAATTCGCCATGATTGTCGTGTCCTGTAATATTTCGCGTATACTGAAAATATGACCCGAATTAGGAAGAAAGTAAAACGATTTCAACTTTTTTTCTAAACCAACAACAATAGAGAATTTACAAAATAATAACATAAATGGTCACTGTTTATTTTGTATCTCGTAGGAAACCGTGGAACTCTCTACAGATAATATAGTAGAAATAGACGTAGTGCATGTCCATCTTTGCTGGCGCATCATTTGACGTACAATACTGAAATACGGTGCGAAGCAACGACTTCGCGAAAAATTATTGCGTCGCGATGTTTACGTTACTCACCTTTCGATGGGACCCTCCATTTTCGTCCACACCGTTTGTAAAAACGTCCGTCATTATAACATTACTACCGACGAAATAAACTGTCTGGACAATATCACAAAAAATGTCAATATCTCCGCACTACTTGAGCTGTGAGTGAAGCAATAACTACGTAAACTGTGGTCAAAGTACAAACTGATTCACCACCAAGTCGTCGAGTCTCGAAATACGCCCTAAGCCCGTAAACGCCGAATCTCTAATGACGTCACAGTACCGGGGAGGTCAGTTCTAACCTCGTACAAAAGTACATATTCGAACATTGTATATTTTTCTGAAATACATAAATTGTTTCTCGAATATATTTTGAATGTAACATAAAACTCACTAGTTTATTTATTTTAGAAGTGTTGTATTATGAAAAAATAATTTATCAAAACAATTAATGCTTACTTAATGTAAAAAGGGTAGAAAGAGGAATTCCAATGCTCGCCCTCAGCGTTGACCTACCCCGGAAAAGAAAGGCAGAGCAAGTGCACGTTGTTTTAAAACTGGCATGTTTTTATCGTGACATTTACTTAGATTTACACTATTTTAGAACAGAAACATTCGAAATATGTCTAATGTGAGACGGAGAAAGGTAGAGATCGAACCGACGGGTTCAACGTCGACCTCAGCAATTATAAAGCGAGCGTTAACGAGCAAATCGGATTGGCCAGACAAAGTGAGTTTTCATTCATTATTTCAGAAATAACCACACACACCTTAGAAGCGAGTACACAACGAAATTTTGCGAGCGAATAGCAAGTGTGTATTTAGAGTGGACTGGTCAAGATCGAGCGGCATACTCGCCTCTTGGTGTGGTTATTCCTGTTATATTATTTATACTATATAACTTCATATTATATAACTTCATTTTAAAGCTAATCTGAGCAGGGGGCTGTTACAGCTCCCTGATCTGAG